ACACTCTTTCCACATTTCTTCCATTTCCAAGCTTGTAAGTAATGCAGCTAATGGCTTCTCTTCTATGGGTAACATAAAGGTACTTAGCATTTTTTATAGTGAAGCTCTATTTCTTGGCATCTGTAAAATAATATTTTTGCAGCCTGTTACTATCTAATCGTAGGCAAGGTTTTACTTTCTCCTTTATGAGCTACATTCTTTACCTTGGATAATTGCTCGCTCCTGTTATTAGCTGACTAATAGATGACCATAACATTGATTTTAATAGCTCATTTTGCTCACAGTGGGCCATGGGAGACAAGAAAGACTAAAATCTTTGAGCACAGAAGAGGAAAATATAAGTCAATTTAATTTTATTGGATGAAAACCACGAAGTATAGAACAAAATCAATTTCGGCATCATCAGAAAGTTGCTGTTTTCTTTATGCAGTTAAGTTTCCTTCATAAACTTTTCTGCACTAAGGTTAGAATTTTGTTTTGATCCTTTTGATACCTTTGTTCTGGTTCTTATACTAAGGCAAAAGATCTAGTTACCCAGAGGGGAATTTAAACCCACCTAACTGCATCTGAGTCAGCAGAAGCTTTTGGATGGATTCCTGCGTGCTTTTTTCTTCTCAGATGTTGTTGTAATGGAATTGATTCAAAAGCAAGCAATTCTGAAACTGTTAGAACAATTTACTGTATTAGTATATTGTCACTGCTGATTCTGGTGGTCATCTGACCTCTGTGACAGGAATATTTTCCCTAGTTGTAGTGTCATTCAGGGCAACTGTAGGTGCTCGAGAATTATCAGGACTTGGCTTACCTCAGTTAGAAAGCATCTCGGAGCTGGTAAGCAGGAATCTGACTATTAATGCAAGAGTGCTCATGAACAGATGCAGCCTCTGCAGGAATGGGCAGGCTGGCCAGCCCTAATCACATCAGCTGGCCTGGGAATGGGCTGGCTGTCTGTCATGCCTCCGTCCCTCACTAAGTACTGGCCAGCAGCATCCCTGGGGCATGTGGATAAGCCTGCACTTGTTTAGTAGTATTGTTGATTCTATCCAAATTTGGGAATGGTTGTAGCGTAGAAATACTTGAGGTCTCTTTTCCAGTCTTATTCAGGCAGATTCTGACTTTGTTAATTGGTGAAAAAATACGGCTTTTTTCATTTTTGAATTGTTTTGGTATTAAAAAGAAAATCATGTCTTGATGCTACCTTGATTTCTATTGATGAGTGCACTTGTTAATGTTATAGATTTTAAAGAAACTTCCATACTTAAAGGCTAAAAGGTTAACAACTGAACCCAGATTGTCTCCAGTGAATCAAGCTCAATTTTCTTGAGCTTATTGAAAGCAATCTGCTCCAAAGAAACTAATTAGAGTGAATACAGAATGCCTAGGCTGCACTGCCTATGCACTCTCAGAGACTTTATTCATTTATTTCCTGTAATTTTGTAAAATCAGGTAGTTGTCTGTCATGCTTTCTCTTCTGGTAGTGGTGATGTGAAAAGCAAAATATACTCCTCTGAAATACCAAGTTGGACCTGGTGTGCTACAAGAAGGATGCTCTGATACTGCTGGCTGGAAATCTATGCTATTAGAAATGATACTGTCAGATTCATCAGCCGTCTGTAGTTGAACTGATGGCTGCTGGCTGGCTCGGATGATTCAGAGGATGCAAAAACCACAGTTAACTAAGGATTCTTAATTGAGGCTTGTAATGTTAAGTAATTAAGGATGCTTTCTGTTCTATTATTATTATTTTTACGTATTCACATGCCTTACTCTGGTGTGTTGCTTGTTTTGAATTTGAGAGTGGTAATCAAGCTGCTCTTGTGTTGTGCTTCATGGAGAGGGGGAAGTGTTACTTCGTTCCATAGAGGGTGACAGCGTCGCTTCACATCTGGATGTAGATGGCCTTGGAGTTGTTAACAGTTGAATCAAAAGGTCTGATTTTTATACTCCTGTGATATGTGGCATGTGGATTTGGAGGATTAAGTTCTGAAAGCAGTGTTTGAACAATTATTTGCTTAAATCCCAAAAGTCCTATTTTGTGGAAATAACAATAGAGCATGTAACAATTTTGAACTTGCTTGATATCCCTTAGGCAGTAGATCTATTTGTCTATGCAAAGATCTTCTCTTCCTCGAACTCTAGGCATCCTGAAAATTCACTGAATTACTGTCTTTTTTGAAGGTAGGACCTTTTATATCTAATTTAAATAACTTGGTGGATCTCCGATAGCCTTTGCAGGGCATGGTAGCTTCTAGTGCAGTTTAGAATAGGTCTTTATACGTTAAGCAGCTGTGTATTAACCATCAGAACAAATGGAAAGGTACGGAGCATTTTGTAGTGAAGGGTCTGGTGGTGGATCAGAGCTGATACGGAGCTTATTTGAATCTGATCCCTTTGAAGAAACATCAGAAGCCCTTTTACTTCTGAAAAGGTGTTGCTTTCCTGCAGGGTATCTAGTGATCACTCCTTATGCTGTTTGTTGGCCTGATACCTGAAAAGTCCCTAGTTCCATAAAGATGTGTAGGAAAGCTGGCAATGCTTGTCTTTATTGGGTGGAAAATGCGTGGATGTTCTGATGATGGGCTGGTGGCACATTCCCCATACATAAGGAAGTGACTGTTGAACTTGTTAACTGTTCTAGAAGCTTTTCTAAATTCTTCTTTTCTACTTTCAGAACTATGTTTTAAGAGAATCCAATTCTGCTTGTGTGTTCCAAAGCGTTACAGCTAAAAATAGATGCTGAGAAACAGGGTTTTATTATTTGTTTGTTTCCTTAAAAAAAAAAAAAAAAGGAGAAAAGGGCAGCATAAAATAATCAGGGAGGTGGAGAGAGAGATACTTCCAACAGCTTGATTTGCCTTTTCTTTGTGTAAGATGGGTGAATGTGAAAATCAGAGTAATTAATCAATGTGAACTTTCCAGATTTATCATTGTTAAAGTGCACCTGTGCCAAGCAACATTGTGCTGATTCTGGAAGAAAAAAAAATTGCAGCATGTTCATTAACCACCTCTGGGTTTTGTGCCTCATTTGCAGAGAATGGGCCAGGGAGAGGCAGGGTTTTGGTTCATGCTGAGGTAGTGCAGCACAAAGCAAGCAGAAGATATTCAGCTGAAGGTATTAACTCTCTCTTTTTGTTGTTTTTTTTTTTCCTTTCTTCTCTTTGCTCCTTACTTTTTTAATGAAAAGTGCTTTTAGTGGAAGGTGGCTGCAGGGAGGAGAGATCCTGAAATGCGTGGGCAAGTGTGGAGCCGGTTGTGTTTGCAGAGTCCCTCCTGCAAATTGGGGACCAGTGCCTGCTGATAAGGCTCACTTGTGTGCTCTGTGCCTGTGTCCTGGCTTTGCTTGCTCGCTGGCTCATGAATACAGCTGTCAGAGCTATTTAGGTATTAAATTTGCTAAAGCATGTGTGGACATCAAGAGTTGGAACTTATTTTTAACACCCAGTTTTATCCCTTTTGATAGGGAGGAAAAAAAAATATCTGAAACTTCTCAAGGAAAAACTAGTGGACTGATAAATAATTTTTTAAAAGGTGTATTTCAGTTTAAATATTTCACGTCTGCTGCTATGAGTATAGGAACATTTTATTTTATTTTACATGCTCTTTTGTCAAACCGTTTAATAGAAAAAAATTGAGTACTAATCAGAAATTGCCCTGGAGGACTTTGAAAATAATGGATTATCCATATACTGGCTTCAATAGAAGTAATATATCATTATACAGTACTACTTATTTGTCATGAAATAATGAAGATCTCTACAAAAGGCAGAAGAAATAATTGGAGGTTGTGATGTAGTACTTCTGGAAGTTCAGCGCAGTTTTCTGATCAGAACTGCAATTTCATGTATTCCCAGGGGTGAAAACTGTTGGGGTCTGTTGTTTTTAATTCAGAATTTTGATCAGTTTTCATATTCCAATAGTTGATACAGCTTTCTCTAAAACAGGAAATCTGTAATGCGAGTGCTCTAATGCTTGAGTTATCAGAGTTCTTGCTAGATAATGTAAACAAGGACATAAAGAAGCTCCTACTCCATCTGTATATGTGACTGCCAAGCAGCAGCAACATTCTCAAACTGTATGGTAGCTTATTCATTCATCTTTTTTTTTTTTTGTCTTCTGAGTATAGGCTAAGATATTTTTCACAACTGTGTTTAATAATAGGAGAGAGACACTGGGATTGTGACTGCCTAAGGGAGTCTAGGTATGGATTGGAGTATGAAAAATAAGATAAAGATAAGGACTTATTAAATCCTGAAGACAATCAAGTCAAACTACAATCTGTCTCTCTTACAGACTCCATAGCTCTTCAGCAGTCCCCCTTCTACACTGTTTTAGAGAACGGTTGTATCCAATTCACCTGGCTTGTATTTTGTGGATGGCTTTTAATTACAAGCCCCTACAACACCAGCCTTCCTGTAAATTTAACTAAGTCAAATGTCTTGAATGCTCAACATGTGTGTGCGTGGCTGACTCTCACTAGTCAGCTGCAGTGACACACTATCAAAGGAAAGGAAGGTTCATTGAGCTTAGAAGTATCCCACTCTCCATGTCCAAGTGGCTCCACACCAATCTTTAGCCCAAACTGTCAAGAAACAGAGGAGAATTGGGATCATTTTGCATATAAATTGGTGACATGTAACTTATCTCAAATGCTGATAATGTTGAATGGCATCTTACATTCTGTGATTCTGTGTGAGAGCTGGCTGTTTTGTAAAGTACTGTAACAACCATAGGGTGATAGATAACCACGTCACCACGAACTGTGTAAGTCCATGAGGCATGCAGCAAAACAAGCTGTTAAATGATGTTTGTGTTTCAGCCTTTGTTTTTTTTGAGGTCTTCGTTGCTCCTTGGAGGCTTCTTTCACTTAAAGAAAAGGAGATGGCAACCTCTGTGCTTGTAGATAGAACTAATTCAGTTGTATCAGAAGACACCACTGAGTTGGTGCTTGGAATGGATGGGTTTTACAAGCTCGTGCTGTGCTTGGTTTGTTCTTGCTCTAGACTGCAGCAATCACAAATGGACAGAACTGGTGCAAATATTGTAGCTTTGGATGCTGAATGTGGAAACTGATGGAAACAAGGCTTTGCCAAGTGGTGAAACATCCTCCCAGGCCAATACCAGTCTCCTGTGACTGTGTTGTACCTCAGGTACAGGTAGGATTTCTTCCTCTTTCCAGCTCTAAAGAATCTTCAGGCTCGGATACCACTGCTTGGAAAGTTGATAACACCTGAATCAAGTGCAAGTAGCACCTCCTGAATCCTTGAACTGATAGAATAATGAGATATGCCCACAGTTAATAGCCTCACTATGTACTCTTGCTACACACGGGCTTTCTGGGCTGGAGAAGCTTGGTTTCCAGAAGGAAGAGCTGGTGCTGAGAGATGAGTTCCAGAGAGAAAAGGACTCCCAAAGAGAACATGAAGATCCTGACTGAAGGATGTATCTGGGAAGTGAGGCAGATGCGTGGAGACCAAGGAGATGCCCAGCACCAAATAATTGTGCCTGGGACCAGAAACTGCAAGCAGCATCATAGCAGAATCCAGCAGGAATTTCTGCCCAACCTGCTCTAGCCAACGTACCTGCCTGCAGGGAAGCCAAGACCTTGGGAACGTCATGGGGAAGTTGTAACAGCCATGGAGAATAAGCACAGAAAAAAACCAAACCCTGCTGAAGTTTTTGCAGAGGTGGTATTCTTTGTTTTCCCAAGGATTCTGGGTGAAACTTAAAGCGAGCTATGAGATGGAGAAGGAAGCAGGGAGGGGGAAGTGCTGCTGTTAATTTGGCATTCATTTTAAGGAGCTGAACGGCAGCCAGAAGCAGTGCAGATGGCATCTCAATTCCCTCTTCTTTTGAAGAAAATGTATTTTTAATACAGTTACTTTTTGTTTCCATTAAGACATTTTTAGCTGTGGAATAAGGACAGTTAAAGGCAGCAGTTAAACCCCCAGCTTTTAGATGACATTTCTGAAAGCAGTTTATTTCCCAGAGCGATAGATGTATGAAACATATGGTTTCTTCAGAGCCACAACCAAGGAGCTGGGTGGTACGGATGCAGGGGCTAGTTGGCAGACGCCCCAGGAAGGAAGCGAAAGGACACAAAACTGGTGATATTGTTGCTTTTGCATATGGGTGTGGTGGTGACAGGAGAATTTGTCTGTATTAAATTGTGTCTTCTACCCTTCTGGCAAATCAGAACTCTAAGCTTTTCTAGATCAACTGCGTTCCAGACACCTGCTCTGTTTTCTGACACTTGATCAGATGCCTGACTGCTGTTAGGACTGCAAATCTGCACCAGGTGAAAGCATACCATGCTTTAGGAGTGGTATTTTATAAATAATTGATTCTTTCAGTGAGGGATTTTTCTGAGAGTAATTCTTTCATGAACCTATTTGTGAAACATTCTCTTAGGTAAACTTCAAGTTCAAAGATAAAATTTGAACTAAAATACACATACCAAACAGGCTGCTGTGTGCATTTGCCTGTCAATAAGATAGAGCTCCTATTTTGGCAATTTATTGCATCTCTGATGTGAACTTCAGACTTACTAAAATATTGAAAACATTCCGATAGGGCGTGATCAGCACTGCCATGGTACAGCTCATGATTGATAGCAGTATGAATCAGGAAGTGCCACTTAAAAGACTTTATAAGAGAAGCTATCTCTTATTATTATTTGTGTATCTCCACAAGTAAAAAATTTAAAGCTTGATTTTTACAGAAAACCATTCAACTGATATTAGAGCCATTGCTTCTACTTCCTTTTGAGAGACAAAATTCTGAGATTTTACCATTAAATAAGTGAAAGAGAGACTAAAAGGACGTGACAGCTGGAAAGATTAGTTATTCAAACATTTTATTCCCAGAACTATTAAATAAATAATTAGATAAATAAATGAAAGTATCTGATAATGCAGAAGGTTTATTACTCTAAACATCTTTCCAGAACTGTCTATGACCTCTTAACTTACAAACTCATTACTGGTGATGCTGCCTGCAGTGGGTGCCACCTGGGGTGCCGGCCCGTCCCCTGCCTGTGCCCGGTGAGAGCTGCAGGTGCCATTGGGGCAGGACGGGGCTGCCCCTGCACGGCTGCTGCGAGGGATGAGGTGAGGAGGGCCTGAGGAGCTGCCGCTCTGCTGCCTGTGGGTGCCGGGGAAGCTCCTGCTGTGCTGGGATGGTTGTAAACCTGTGTCCTGTGTCAGATGGAGGAGCAGAAGCGAGCAGCAGAGGCTGCTACTTGGTGGCAGCAGGGAGGGGGCCAGAGGCTGGCACGTTTCCCTGTGTGCTGCTGCAGCAGGTCTGGCGGGGCTGGAGCAGCACTGGTTTGGGTGGTGGCTTTCTTAGGGCGCTTGAGTGGTGGGGCCCTATGGGTGCTGCTGTCTCTGTGCCTTCTTCCTTTGGTGCTGCCAGCAGGCTCCTGTCTCACCCAGCAGCTGCTCCCTGCATGGGCTGGGCACCTGGTCTGCTCCTCACGTGGCTCTCCTTCAGGTCTCCCTGCAGGGCAGAGGCAGCCACCTCTGTCTCCTCAGAGCAACTCTTTGCTGTCAGTGTTCAGGCAGTTAGGATCATCGCTCTGGAAGTGTGGGTGAGAGTAGAAGAATGACTGAAAATGCAGAGAAGAGTTAGTTGCTGTCTGGGGCTGAAAGATGGTGATATACAGGAAGTAAGGCTGAAGGCAAAGATGGGTAGTAAAAAGGTCTTTCGGTCAGATTAATCTCAGAGATTAGGTTAAGTCAAAGAAGATATGTTGCAAATATATTGAAATAAATAGGCTCATCATATCCTGATTTTTCTTTTCTGTCTGTTCAAACTGGGATATAACTCAAATCTATTTTATCTATATTTCTGCTGTTCAGCAATGCAACGTCTAAAATACCCAGAAACAGGAAAAGATATAAAGATCAGAACATTGACTGACACAGACTTCTCTTCTGTTGCTAAAGCTTGTTGTCTTGAAACCTTCTTCCCACCCACCAGAATCTTGTGAGAGTTGGTTTATGTGTGGAGCAGCTGAGGTACCTTTCTGTGAGCAGCAAATGCTTCTTCCTCTGCCAGAGACTCAGGAATGGAACAAGATCTTGTGCAGTCATGGTGTATTTTGGTGAATCTTCACAGATTAATTCTGTGTATGAAGATTTTCATGTTTTCAGTCTGAAGAACTCTCACAGGTCCTTTCCTTCCCAATGCCTGGGGCTTAAACGTTTCTTCATCAATAACAACACAATTTCCACCATGATTCCACCAAATCATCTTAAATTGGTCACTTTCAATTGATAGCCAGAGTTTTTGTGGAAAGCTGAGGAGATTCTGGCTTTGCTCTCCTCAGAAGAAATGTGAGGGAAACATTTGGTTTCCTCTTCATCGGAAGAAGTTGGTGGATCTTTTTCTTTCTTTATCCATGCTAGAGCAGCATCCCATGTGTTCCTTGTTCATCCTGTCCTGGAGGATGAGGAGAAGGAGAGTCTGAGGACTCAGGCAGCTTCTTCAGATTCAGGTGGCTCAATTTTAATTTTTCTTATCTCAGTTTGACCAAAGTTTTCATGTAGAGGCATTTCTGCGGTAAGCCAGACTTTACCCTGCCGTCAGCACGTGAAGTCTAAGAGAACGTCAGGGGATTCCACTGGAAGATTGTCTGACATCACTGTAACACCCACGTGTCATCACAATGACATCACTGTGTGGCACCCAGAGCCTGGCTGGCTGGCACAGCCAGAGCAGATCTCACTGACCAGTACTTGTTGGTCCAGGGCCACCGGTGTTTAATCGTGAGAAGCAAAGAGAGCTGTATTTAAAGGGGTTCATTTGTCACCTTTCCTGTGTGGTCCCTGAATAGCCTTCTGGCCTTCTTGGTGTTCTTCTGGTTCTCCAGATGGGGCTGAGGGAGAATCAGTTTCCCAAGTAACACTAACAAAAGAAAATAGCAATCTCTTGACAGTTTGTAACCGTTCTTGGAAATGCTCCATGGGTTCAATAGCATGGCTTCTGCAAGGCAGTAGCTGTGTGCTCAGGTAGTGCTCTGCAATGTCAGCAGTCTCCCAGAGGCTGCTCTGTAGGTCCAACTGGGAGAAGGCAGTAAGTACATTTTGCTGATAGTATGAACTACCACTCTTTGGTTCCTATGCTTTTATTTGGTATTTTATATATTTGATATTTAGAAAGCAAGCTAATGAAACCTGTGATGTTATTTAAGCCTTTCAAATCACACTCCTCTCTACAGGAGCAAGGGCTTCATCTGTCAAGGAAAGGCTTGGTCTGCAGATGGTGTCTGTTTGCAGGCCTTGAGTGCATGCCAAGTCGGAGGACACCACTAAATTGGAGGAGCTGTTGACTCCCTCAAGGGCAGAGAGGCCTTGCAGAGCCATCTTGACATACATGATGGCTGGGCAGTCACCAAGTGGATGAAGTTGAACAAGAGCTAGTGCCAAAATCTGCCCCAGAGTGGGGCAGCCCAGGATGTATGCACAAACTAGGGGGCAAGAGGCAGGAGAGCTGCCCCACAGAAAGGGATCTGGGGGTTCTGAGTGATGGCAAGTTGAATCTGAGTCAGCATTGTGCCTTGACAGCCCAAAGGGCCACCTGTACCTGGAGGTGGTGCGTCAGGCCCACACTGGCAGCCAAGGGGAAGGGTTGTCCTGCTGTGCTCTGTGCTGTGTGGCCTCACCTCCAGCACTGGGTGCTGGTTTGGGCACCACAGTCTAAGAAGGACATAAAAATGTTCGTGCCAAAGGATGACTGTGAAGATGTGATTACTCTTGCTCAGGTAGTCTGACTCTGTTTTGAAGAGAAAATTTATTTATAACGTGTTTGTTTTAGGAAGCTAGTTTTCAACATAGTGTTTTCCAAGCTATAGGTTGCAAGGCTAACACAAGGAACAGTGTTCATATGAGTGTATAACATACAAACCTGACTAGCTGAGATTTGAGCTTCTGTCCTCTTTTGCAATGATAGCAGTAGCTAATACTCTTCTGAATGCCTTAGAATCTCTCATTCCTTTTGAATTAAAAGTCATAATGTGTTTTTTTGCTAATTAATTTGGAGATAGGGTTGGGAAAATATTTTCGTGTGGCTGGGGAGAGCTACTGGTGTCTGCCACTGCTAAGGTCGGAGGCTTTTTCTTTCATTCTTTTTAGGAATAGGCTTAAGGCAGTTCAAAAGGGAGAGTGAAGCTCTGAATTCTCTGATGGAGACTTGTTTTGCAGCCAGATTGCTATGACAGAAAATGCTTTGCTCCAGCTCTCATGGAGCTTTGTCTGGGCTTTGTGATCAGCATCATCCCAAAGAAGCAAAACTGTTCAGGAAATTTATAGATAGCAATTTGGTCTCCAGTGTAGCAAAGGCTCATCTGTTAATTGCTTTGAAGATTAAAGTCAAGACCTTGAACTGGCATCTGAAACTGACTTTAGAGATAAGCCCTAGCCGTGAACTTCTGTCATCTCCTTTGCAAAGCCTTTGGTATTTAGAGGATAATAGATAAGCAGGATATCCAGGACAGCATCCAACTGATGTAAAGGATTTGTTTTATGGGAACCTAAATTGTTTCAGGGCTAAAACCAGTTCTCTCTAGGTCTGTTATCCAGAGATCTTTCCAGAGAAGATGTAAACTAAGAAAGAGTGAAAGTAAGGCCAAGTAGACACATAGAAGTGACAGCAAGTCAAATATTGATAATATCTGCCATGTAAATAATAGGCACTTTAGGTTGCTAATTGAATTGACAAATTGACATGTAGTTTTAATTTAAGATGAATAAAAAGAAACGCTTTCCTAGATACGGTGTTGTGTTTTTTGTTGGTTTTTTTTTTTTTTGGATGGGAGAATTCTTTTTTTGGTCTTTTGATCCTCCGGTACCTTTCTTTCACTTCTTCCTCGCCACACAAACCCAATTTGGATTAAATTGCCATTTTTTGCTCAATGACGTGAAACATCCAATTCTGAGGTTGTTTAAACATTTTGTCATTACTTTTTTTTTTTTTCAAGGCAGTTTTCACTGAGGGATGTTTCTCTTTTTCTGTGTTAAGAATGTTGTAGGAAAATGCTTATGGCAAGTCAAAGAATTTGTTTGAGATACTTCGGAATAACTGAATTCCCTGGTAGTTTTGGTTCCGCCACTCAATGTCATTTTTCATCAAAAGGATCTCCATTAGTCAAGTATGATACAAGCAGAGATGTTTTCTCAGAGATCCTCTACTGTGCTGGGAGTAGAGTCTGATTTGAGGACAACGTTTGAGAGCTCTCTGTTGATGGCATTTGTTGTGGTGGTGTTTGGGAGCAGTGCCAAAGAGGTGTTGCATGTGGCCAACTGCAAGGACGAAACCACAGACACTCCACACAATGCAGAACTTACAGCACACTGTTAAACGAGGAAAAACCTGTGATGTACAACCAGTATGGTAACAGCAGTACTGCTGCTGTTAAATTTTCTTCTTCTCAGGGAGATTAAAAATAACAGATTTAATTAGGAGAGGATAAACATCAGAGGGAAAAGAACATATGCCATTGAACTTGAAGGACGAGGAGCGGGGAATTTATGAGTAATTGGTGAAATCTGAAATGGGAATGAATTGAAGGTGCTGCATGGCAGGTAACAGGAGGCAGTCTGAACAAACCACTGTCAGTGAGAAGTCTGAAAATAGAAAGAGCTCTTGTATGTTGTTAAACCAAAGAAAAGACCTGCTCTACTTTGGTTTCTTCTGTTTCTATCTGTTTTCTCCCCATATTTTCCGACCTCAGGTTGTCCTTGAAGTTATTCTTTCCCGTTAACACTCTTGAGGTTGTTCAGTGATATAGTTTACCTGTTCTTATGGGCTCAGATAATACAGGTTGTTCTCTCACGCTGCCTGGCCTGGAACATCAAGCAGCGGTGTTAGCCTTCTTGGTGGGTGACTAATGTATCCAGCAGCATTTCTGAGCTTGAGAAAGCAGAAAAACACTTCAGGCAGCTACAGGTCTTTCTAAGCTGCAGCAGAGAGAGGAGAATTGGAAAATAGTAATAGGGCCTCTGAGTTCTGTTCCAGGAGATGGGAGGTGAGGGCTCATTTCTCCCCCTCCTTTTTTTATAAAAGGGAAAGAAGGGACAAGTAAGAAAAAGGACTTGCATTCCAGTGCTCAGCTACAGTGGAGCTTGCAAAACATGATGTTGGGATAGATGAGTGTGCCCCTTTTGCTCAGTGAGCAAAACCCTTTCTTCTTTATCCCTCCCTGCCCCCCTCATCTCCACAGTTTATTGTGATACGTAAAGTGGATGTTGTTCTCTACCTCATCCCAGCCTTGCAGCTGGTGCCCTGTTTTGAGAAGGAAGATGACGAAAAGAGGATACTGTGATTTGGTTTGAATTGCAGCCACTCTTACCAGCTCAGCTGTGGCTCTCCAACACAGGCATGGTGCTTTCCTTCTCAGTTTTTTATTAGAAGTAAATATACTACTCGTGTAGGTAACGGTTATCCTGTGATGTGCGAGCCAAGCACAAAAGGGATTCTGGTACAACCTCGGGGAGCTGCAGATAACTTAATTTTACTGTTTGTTGTCTTTGTAGCAGTGGCTGGCTACCAAGCACTTGGGTAAATTGTTTATTTGAAGAGAAATACAGGACAAGTCTGTAGAGCATAGTAATGTGTCTTTGCTCAGTTTTTTTTTTATAAGAAGAGAATCTTAAAAGTTAAGCTGTAGTAATTACTGCTTGCAGGTAGCAGAGATTTATCGTTGCTCTTATGCAGAGATCTGCTGCCTATGTTAAAATGTTTCCTTCTGCAAAAGCAATCTGAAATCCCTGCTTTATTGACAAAAGCAATTTTCCTTAGCTTTAGAGGAAGATGGAGAAGGGTAACTGCTGATTTATGTTCTGAACAAATATCCCAAAGCGGTGCATACACGCACATGGATTTCTTGGTTACTGTGCTATTAATATTTACCTTAATATTTATCCTAAAAATGTTTTTTTTTTTAACGTAAGAAGCTTCCTCTGCATGATCTTTTTTTCCTACCTGATCCCACATCCCAAAAAGGCACCACAAAAATCATAGTTTATCTGTGCCTCTGTGTAGAATTGAGACACTTATGATCATGAGTTTTACAGCTCAAATGGTACCTTTCGTACTGTCACAATAACCTCCTCATACTCCTTGTAGAAGCAAGGCATCCCAGGGCAATTACACATAAAATGATAACATTGCTAAGTTTCAAATGTACAACAGGAATAAGCAGAATCTTTGCTGATGCTGTGACAAGCGTTCTGCAAATATGTCAGATGCAAATGGAGATCTTCAGCAAATTTTGTGGTATAAATTGTAGCTGATAAAGAAGAAATTGAAATGTTTTGAGACAATGGCATCTTTGAAGTAGAATAAACAGTATAATCTTCTGTGTGTGGGAATGATGGAGATGTGTGTATGAACTAGATCTGTACTATATCAGTTCACAGATGGTCCCAATTCAGTTGAGACATCAAAAATCAGTCTTGAAAGTTGCAGCTTTAACCTCAGTGCATTTGTCTGACTTAATTCACGCAGAAGGACCTGCAGGAGTGGAATAATCCTAAATTTTCATAAAGGGAAAACTTTGTGACTTGAATTTTTTTTGAAGTTATAACGAGTACTGTTATATTTAAGAATTAAATTGAAAACATCATCAGTTTCATAGAATCCTTGAATATCCTGAGTTGGAAGGGACCACCCAAAATCAAACCATTTTTCTGAAAGCATTGTCCAGACACTTGAGATGTGCTGAAATGCTCAAAGAAACCATC